TCTTGTTTTTCACATACCTGGAAGGCCAGGTATCTTGTTTTCTTTCCTTTTATCACTCATTCACAGCAGGGGTTTCAACTTGGGAGTAGAAGGAAGGGAATGACTGGTGTGGGGAGCAGGAAATGGGAGGTGTCCTGATTTTGGCCTACAGCTAAATCCTGTACTCAGAAGCTGGAGATAGTTATGTGACAGTTTCTGTTTTAGGCAAAGAGAAGTTAATTAGTTAGCTTCAGAAAATAAAATACATATCTAAATAAGTAAATTTTCAAAAAATAAAGTTCCAGCTGCTATATTTTTTATAGCATTTCGAGTACATTATAGGTTATTAAAAGGGATTTTTGTGGACTAGTCTGAAAAGAAACTTTTAGCATTAGCTCTGTGGAAAATATTTTTAAAGTACTAGACACCAGTTTGCAGTTTGATAGATAGTGGTTGGGCAAGGGAGGCCTCTAGTCTACCTGGTAGCTATTAACAATTTTCAGTCTGAACTAATTTCTGCTGTGTTCAATCAGTCGTTATGTTATGAGCCCAGCACAATTTATACTTACACCTTTGGAGAAATACAATGTACACATAAAAGCAATCTCTGTATTTAAGGAATTTCTTCTCTAAAAGGTAAAACAAAATACACTTAATAGTATAACCAACTGGCCAATTGTAAGGTATAAATAAGGTGAAAATTTCAGAGGAATCTGAAATTGACAAGGAACATTTCAGGTAGACTGTGGGAACTATGAATCTTAATTCAGACATCTGGTTAAGTTTTAGTTAGAATACCGTTGGCGGGTGCTGCTACTTCTGGAGAATTGAAGATAGAGAATTAGAGTGGTGTAAAAAAAAAGTATCATATGTCAAGTCAGTTATGGGTTCATATGTAGGATTAATTATTTGCTTAGTTTATTTTTGAGAAACAGCATGACATTGCTAATGAAGCTGTTTGGGACAGCTATGTCCAGGTAGTTTACAAGTAGTTGGCATTAGCTTTCTCAGATGATTTGGGAGTGGAGAGTGAGTGATACCTCGGGTTAAACTCTGAATGTTTTTTGCTCTAAAAGTATTAAGTGTTGGTTGTTAGCCCATTTTCCTTCTTTCGTAGGTAAAAAACAGGAAGCAGATGAGTTGAGTGGAGATGCTTCTGTGGAAGATGATGCTTTTGTCAAGGTAAAGTGTTAATTACACCAGGATGAGATGTTTATTTTGAGCCTAGTATTTTGCATGATGGATTCATGCAGTTTACTTGAATGATAGATACTAAATTACCTGGGTAAATAGAGACTTATATAATATTGTCAGTCTCATTAATTTTGATAGTTGAGAAATACAGCAGATAAATTTGTCTTTGGATAAATGAGCTATAAAACTAAAAATGTTTGTATAGGCCTTTAAGTAGCATTCTGAGAGCAGAGAAACAGCTGCAGGACAATTGATAATGTTAGTTCCTGGGCAAGATATTGCAATGAAAGATATTGATAATTTATTTTTAACCTTCCATTGCATTTAGCTTTTGCATATAGTATATAGAACTTAGATTAATATAGTCCTTAAAACAAAAAATGATGTGTTGCCACTTAGTAAAGGTCAAATTAAGACATTTGTTTTGTCCTTTAAAGATAAATAATCCAGGTTTGTTTTGGGGGTGTGGGGAGTTTGGTTTGGTTTGGCTTTTTTTTTTTTTTTTTCTTAAAAAAAATAAAAAGAGTTATTTCAAAACTGATCACCCAGAAAAATTATGTGATTTTAACTGGGGTCATGGCAGTTATGAATACTAAATTATTTTTAATCATAAGGTTTTTTGTTTCCATTTTAATAAAATGTGATTTGCTACTTACTGATTGTAAGTCTTAAGAAGTGTGAATTTGCAAAATTATTTAGAGTATAGTTGCTCTTATATACATTTATACTCTGGTGTATTCCATTTTTGTTTACAGAGTCCATATTGTCATAACATCTGTGTATGTCTTTGGGCTCCACCAGGAAGTCAGCTCATATCCAGTCACCCACCCTTCTCTTTATACTGCCTAGCTCTCTTCCCTCCCCACATTACGTACACACAGACCACACCATTTCATATACCCCACACTTTGTACTTTGCACCTTGAGGGCAGGCACAGAGAAAAAATGCTTGAGGAGATAACCCTGAAATCAGATAACTTTAGGAAATATTTGTGCAGGGAGTCCTCAAAGTTGATGATTGTGTGGCTGTAATCAGCTTTTGTATGAGCCTTTAAGAACTGTTCAGACTGTATCTATTACCTTTGTGGTATATCTTGCATTAGGTTTGTTCCTTTGTTCTTATATCCTCTAGTAGTCTTTACTAGAGTGTATCATTAAGCAAAAATTATCCATAAGCTGGAAAAACATTGTGACTCAATAAAATCAAGTCAGATGATTTTCAAATGACTTTCAGCTCTTCAGTTCATAAAAATGTTACATTTGAGATGCTATGAAGAGAAATACACCTCTACTCACCATTATAGTACTGTCTCTTATGTGTGCTGTACAGGATGCCTTTGTATTATTAAATGAACCTGGTTATGATGTGTAGGATGACAAAAGAGCTCTTTTAAAAAGTTTTATTTAAATACAGCTTTAGTTTCTTCTTTATATTTTTTCACTTTGGAAGTATCAGTATATGTTAAGTGAATATACTGTTATCAGACGACATTTGTAACTGTATCAATACTTTCCTTGCCTCCAAGTGTTGGCAATTTTGGAGTTTATATAGTACTGGTGGGTAAACATACCACTTGCCACTTAGATATATGAATAGTATTAGAATTAATTCCATTTTATAAATGAAGGAAATTGTCAAAATTGTTGGAATTTCAGAATAGATCAAGTTCCCTCCATGACTTCCCTTTTTTGGGAGGGTGTTGTGGGGGTGGTACTTATTCTTCTACCATCATGCAACTACTTACTCCATTTTCAATCCCCAAGTTCCCCCACCGTTGTGTGGTGAGTTGTTCAAACCTCCTCTCTCTGAGATGCCCTCTACCTGAACACTCCACATACCAAAACAATTACATTGCTTCTCTGGGACCAACTCCCTCAGAATTTCTATTCCCTCACTTCAGTTCAGTTGTGACTAACGAGTAGTCATGCCCCTCCTCTTTTCCCCTTTTAACCCAGAAGGCTTTTCTTCAATTTACATTTACTCTATAAATAGCAAAGGGGAAATGAATGTTCATTTGCTTTCCACCCTTTCTTTGCAGTTAAAGAGGAAACAAACAGATTGCTGCTTTTCTTTGTTTCTGCTTAAGTACTGTGTATTCATAAACACTGAAGGGCAAACAGACATTCCTTCACAGAGACAGTCCCAACCTAAGTTCCCTTAAGTGATGATAGGGAGAAATGATAGCTTTTTAAAAAAATACATTGAAATTATTTGTATATTTTTTAAGAATAGCCATTGGTGTAATAGTTGGGATTCTTTATTATTAATTAGGAATAAACTATTATAATATATAAGACTTAAAAGATCTTTGAAGCTAAATCAAGAGATGGTATGTGGAGAAATGAAGTTATTTCTTTGAATCCATCTCCTAGGACAGCTTCTGGGATGTGACTTTAAAATACTAAATAACTGAGATTTGAGAGCATCTCTAGTGGCAATCTAATTAGTGTGTAAGATATTTGGGAACTCGTATGCATGATTTAATGACCTTGCTGTTAGACCCCTTTATTTTTAAAGATAATTAATATGTAAGATAAAATAGTTGAATTTTGACTTTGGGAATAATGTCAAAATGATAAAATTTAAAACCTTTAGAGATATAAATTACCAAAAACGTTTGGTGGATAGCCTACACTACTTTGCTCTAGTTGTACCACATTTTCTTACCATTAAAAGGACTGTGAATTGGAGAATCAAGAGGCACATGAACAAGATGGAAATGACGAACTAAAGGACTCTGAAGAGTTTGGTGAAAATGAAGACGAAAACTTGCATTCCAAGGAGTTACTTTCTGCAGAAGAAAACAAGAGATCTCATGAATTAATAGAGGCAGAAGCAATAGAAGATTTAGAAAAAGACGACATCGAAAGTCAGGTCTTTAGCCAGTTTTTTTGAAATATGACTCAGATAAATTAAATTATAATAAATATTTCCTTTTAATTCAATGTGGAAGTCTCAGATTAAAAAAAAGCTTTTTTAATTTATAAATCAGCCAAAGTCCTACTACCTGAGAGGACCTTTAAAATTTTGCTTATCTTCCACATTTGTATTTATTTTTACATAGTAGCTATCATGCTATAAGTTGCTATTCTATATAATATTTTCACGTGTGACTTCATAACTGTATATTATGCCATAATTTATTAGATTGCTTTCTGTGTGTCTAATGGCCACGTCTTTAATTTGGGGTATTTGAGCTTTAAGTTGTTTTCTCCCTCATTATAAATGAGTATACCATTTTCACTTTTGTCTTGCCAACTTTACCTGGTAGTGGTCTTTTTTTTTTTTCCCTTCTTTTTGCTACTTTAATAGATATAAATGAGTAATTTGCATTTCTTTGGTATTATCAAGGGTGGGGAAATTATGAGAGCATATAATTTCAAAAATCTTTGAGTGGTATGCATTATTTGGCCTTTTTTGAAGTATGATACTACATCTTTTAAAAAACATCAGTGGACTAGGGAGTAAATGTTAGTATCCATGCTTAAAACACTTCTAGCTCAATAAATGAAGGGATCAAGGAAGAGATTTTTTCTAATTCTGTATTAATGTGGCTAATTTTATGTTGGCATTAAAAAAAGTAACATGAATTATTAAGCATTAACTTAGAGCCCACACAGTATCATAGACACTGCACCAAACACAAGGCAAGTGATAATCAAGTGTAGCATAAAAGAATTCTCATGTTACCTAGATATTTTATAAAGCAAAGCTATTGTATACCCTTTTACTAGGAAATTGAAGCTCAAGAAGGTGAAGATGATACCTTTCTAACAGCCCAAGTAAGTTTACATTTAGTCATATGAACTTGATAATTGTGGGTGGGGGGGCTTGGAAAAGGAATCTAATTTTGAATTCGTAAGTATTTAATTTATAAAACTTATTTTAATGCTATTTATTCATTATATAAAAATACTTAAATTTGGAAACTGAAATTTCTTTTGGCCACAAAGGTAATTGGAAATTATTATAAGGAGGTTTCCTACCATTTTCAGAATAAAAATAAACACAGTTAATCTTTTCTATAAAACTTAATTCTGATTACCAGTCTTGAGATGTCAACGCCCTTCTTGAATTTTTTTTGTCACTTTGGTATAAAATAAATCCTTCAGAAATACTAAT